AAGTTTAAAAGTTTGATATAAATGAGAAAGAGAACTGTCATACAAAGGTTTTATAAACAAGTGATAATAAGATCATTTTATCCAGTTTTCCTATTTGCTTCATTTTTCTCTAATAGCTTTTTTTCAGATAATTTTGTCAAGCGGCTGCTTTTTTAAAATTCTGACTTGTTATTTTGAATATTGTGCAGCGTCTTTTATCGTTTATTCATAACACTGAAATTAAGTAATAGTCCTCAAAAGCAAAAAAAAAAAAAAAATCAAATTTGCATTGGGGAAAAATACTTTCTTTGTGTTAAAAAGTATTAATAATGCAGTATCCTCATTAATTTTAAGAATTATCAAAACATTAATGTGATTTTAGAGTTTCTCTACAATTGAAAGCTTTTTTGATTGTCATATAAATATTGAAGTCAAACAGAATAGCATATAAAAATTGAAAACTTCTACCTAATAAAGAATAGGTATTGTGCGAAAATTTTCCAAAGACAGTTTGGATTACTATCTATTTTTTATTCTCGAAATCTTTCCTAGGTCCTTAAATAGTTAAAATTCTAGAATATCTGAATTAATAAAAATATAACAACGACACATCTGTCTCTAACCCATTTCTATATAAAGACATTTAAAGCTATTTCTCTTTAAAACCCTATGACCCACTTCTCTTTAAACAGAATTTCATTTTGTTCTTGATAGCCTAGTTTTTCACAAAATCACTCGAATCCTTATTCAGAATTTGTCATCATAAAAATAAAATTTAGGAAATTGAAAAAGAAAAATATAAAAAGTAATAACTAACTTCAAATAATATGCTCTTTTTAAAGAGGCAGTCGCAACTGAATCTGACATTTTATAGTTTATGAGGCTGACTGGATGAGTCATAGGGACAATGGTCAGTGGTTAAGTGCTGTCTCGTCCCTTCATGCTTGAAATCGATTAAAACTAGGCTCTTAGTGTCATGTGTGGTGTACATCCGATGACTGTTTATTAAATCATTTTTGGGAGTTGACCGGACAGCTAGGTTCTATGTCATCTTTCATTACATTCATTAGGTCTCCCTATAAAGCCAGCTTGCCAGAAATGAATGGCTTATATGGATTACTATTTAAGATTATTCATTGTGTGCACAAATTTTAATTTGAATTGGATAATTCATCCGTAATTGTTTTCATAAAAAGTCATTTTTTAATTTTGACCATTACATTTTTTGATATATCCTATCACTTAATCAATAAAGTACCACCTAATAGCTTATTAATAAGATCTATTTTGTAAGATTCAAGAATTTGAAATACTCTTATGATGATCCGGAAGTAGAATTTGAAAACTGCTATTTCCTGAAATAATATAGATTGGAAAGCTTTATAACTTCTCTTCCTTAATTTAAAATTAGAGAAATTATTTTCTTATTTTTCTATTGATTATATATGCAATCACACAACTCACGCAGGAATGTGATTCCATTTCAGAAATCTCATACAGAAAATACTTTCATAAAGGGTATATTAGTCAATCGAACAGCAAAGAGGAATTACTACCTTTGTGGAATAGTTCCAATATATAATAGGATAAATTAGTAGATCGTTCCGACAATCCTTTCATTACACTTCTTTATTCCTTTACTAGATTAGAATTCACTACTAATAAATGTTAGTAAAATTTTGTCGTCAGAAAGTTAGAAGTTGAAGAATCCAAAAGTTGATGGAATATTACGGCGCTATGAGACAGTTAGTGCAATTGTGCAACTTAAAATAGAAGTAAATCAGATTTAAATCTTGATATACTAGTTCAACAAGTGATAACACATTAATTCTAATAATGTTTATCTGCTTGGTTTTTCGAAGAAAAAAGAAAACAAACTAGGAATGGTTACTTTTTTAAATGAAAATTTAAGCAGTTTATGGTTTCTCTTGCAGCTAATAGGTAAGCTTTATTCAAATGAATGAGTCACTCAAAATGGTTTCAATGTCCATCTATAATTTGCCTTTAATGAAAGCAGCACAGTAAAAATTTGCTCTTCGAATTCAAGAAGCTGTTCCTATCATCAGCTTATCAGTGGTCGAGATGAAGCAAGAATAATTTTTATTGGAAATCAACGATCGAGAAAGATATCTGTCCATCCAGAGAGATTGCATTGTGATACTTGAGACACATATGGTGGCCACATGAATTATTCTATTGATTGAGATGTTGCAATGGACATGTCTGTCCCATCATATCCGATCGTATCAAAAAGAAAACATCTGCTGCCAGCAGTTCCTAACCACTCCTTTTTCTAGTTTCGTATCTTTCTTTCAATCTTACCCTTTCTAAATTAAATAAAATTGAAATCTACACTTATCATACTTATTCCTTTTTAGTATATTAAATCAATTAATGTAGAAAGTGTAAGTTTATTTCAAAAAATAGTGATAAAAAACCAACAATCATGTCAAATGGAAAATGAAGAAGCTACATGGGGAAGGAATTGTTGAAAAGGAGACTCTTGGACTGTGGATGATCGATAGACCCTAGACTATCCTCAGAATATATCCAAATATGGACTAGATGCTTTTTCTATCTCAGTGCTTTGGTGCTTTACCAATGATGATTCATTAATAAATTCATTATTGAAAAGCCACTGAAATTGAAAAATTATTTATTGCTTTTTCGATTCATTTCGATTCTAACATATATAGCAATAAAGTGCTTCAGCTATCTTGGATTTTTATCGTCCCTCTCCTCTTCTCACCCCTCCCCCTCACTTCCTCTTCTTTTCATTATTTCTATTTACATAATACTAATTTTGGAGCTCTTAAGAAATTACAATGATTCACCCATACTTCAAAGCTCATATGACTTCAATTTACAAATCATTCGAAGCAGTATTGCTCGTTAAGTCACATCATACAATAACGACCCACACTAACTTGTCATTAAAAAATTGAAGAATTACTGTCGCAATTCATTACTCAGATCTTCAAAATGAACAAAAAGAAAAAAAAAAAAAAAACACGAAAAATTAGGATTTGAAAATTTCAAAGCTACAATTTTGATATTGCAAAAAATAGACATAATATGTTCCAAAAGGTTGCTTTTTTCAAATTTTTAACTTGCCAGGTTGTTATACTACTTGCTGTTTCGTTTGGGAGAAAGAACTTTTGTCACCTGTGATACATAGAGGATGATTGGAGAGGAATCAGCACATTCTTCAGACGTAAATGAGCAAATGAAAAGATAGTCTCGAAACATTTAATTACTACTCGTTAGTTCTGAGCTTGGGCTTAATTGGGGGAGGGTCACTTTTATATAACATAGCAGAGAGCTATAAACGATACATCTCTACATACATGACTGCAAAACATTTTCAAGCAAGCCACTTCCAGCCAGTTCAATTAATACACGAAACATTTGAAATCGAATCATGCACACACCACGTATTTTCAAAATATTTCTGAAGTTCTTCAAATATTCCAAAATTTCAACATCTCAACTATCAAAATTCGATTTCTTCACATAAAAGTTCTTGTAGCGCATCCTATTTTAACTTTTTTCTAAACTTACAATACATGCACAATCAGTGACTACTTGAATCTAAAGTATTGTTTGATCCTATAGCTAATGCCTCCTCATACATAACTAAATTCAGTTCAGTCATTTACTTTCTTTAATTAAGCGTTGCATTACTGAATGAATCAGAAAGTAAATCAAATTAACATGAAATGTCAAGAGATGTCAGATCTGATTCATAGATAATGCTAAAATATCTAATATAAGCTGTCCTTTCCGTAAATGGCGCTATGAATAAATGAGTGAATATGGGTGAGTGGACAAGTGGACGCGGAAGATTGATAAGATGCGCACTAGGAATGACCATTTTGCGATTGGTCATCCCTTCTTAGCTTACGATGAATCTAAATCTAATACTGAAGGCTGTGAAGAGTGATGCGAGAAGTAAGAAACCTGCGAATTTCAAGAACTCACTAAAATTAGTGATTAATACATTGTATTGTATTTCTGCTCCTCATATTATTTTATAAAATTTACTGCAGTGACTGAAATACAAAATTTTTTAAAAACTCTAGAAATGATGCCACAATTTATGGAATAAAAAAGGGAGAAAAATAGGAAATTGAGATATCCACATTAAGAAGTAATATCTGTGTTTAATTTAAATCAATTTTTATTATTGAAAGATTTTGATATCATTAATTTCTATTTTTCTAATCTATAAAACTTGTTATTACAAAACCAAGAACAAAGAATAGATATTGTTCTACACTAAGTTTAATCTTTCGAATAGTTAGATTCTTTACATTTCTTAACTATATGAAATGGTTGGAAGTTCACTGATTTTTAAAATTTTATTTTTTGATCTTTTTAAAATAGCTGTATTATACAGAGATATTTAGAAACTAATAATAAATAATATGTATCTGGAAGTAATAGTAGCTTTAAATAACTGTAAATAAGTATTAGTAAAATTATAATTTAAAAATGGCTTACTAATAATTAGACAAAAATCTACTCCGAGATAACAATTTTTATAATCCGAATTTTTTCATCACGATCTAAGGAATTTAATATTGCTATCACATCAATCTATCATAGTTTTTCTTCTAGAACGATACAAGTGTCTTGTTTTAAGTGTATCCCACTTTCCAACTTTTATTTTATCTTATTTTACCTTTAGTCAATAGAAAATTTCAAGATAAGTAAAAGAACTATCTTCGGTTTGATTGCTTTGTAAATATTTCCACGGAAGACTAGTTCTTTCAAAATTACTCATCAAATACAAGCTTTTATTCATTCAGCTAACAGCTTCCATTCACAGTACCGTCGTACTATTTTCTTCATATCCTATCATCAAATTTTAAAACTTTGTAATTAAGCCTCGGATTCTCAATACTCTTTCACGCTAATAAATTTGTCAACCTTGTGCTTTTATATTCAAGAATTCAAAATTAAGTTAATTATGGCATCAGGTTTAAGCTACACATTAACTATATTCTTTTAGAATACCGATGGAAAGAAAAATCGGACGACAGAATTCAGAAGCGGAAAATGAAATAAAATTGGAAATTTGTCCCGAAATTGTGACAAATACTCGATACGGTGGTGTGCAGAGTGGAGATGATGATACCGAAGCAGTAAAAAAACAATTCATGCAAATTTACAATTCAATAATTTCTAATTAATTGCATTATATTTTATTGGTAGTTAGTAATTAAGCTTAACCTCAATAGTAACTTTCCCCAGTACATTCTTGAAGTAGTAGTATTAGGTTAAATTTTAGACAAAGAAAGCAGCGGAAGAGAGGGCACGTAAAAAAGCAGAAGTACGTAAACGTCTGGAAGAGGCTAATCGGGCCAAGAAAGCCAAAAAAGGTTTTCTCACACCGGAAAGAAAAAAGAAACTGCGAGTTAGTCCTTCATAATACCAGTATTTGAAGTTGATGGTTTTCGGAGATTTAAAAAGGCATTTGCAGACAAATTTAAGAAAACTATTAATAGATGCAGAAATATTACAGAAATTGTTGATGATGAAAGCGGCAGAAGATCTGAAACAGCAGCAGATGCTCAGAGAACAGGAAAGACAACGTGTCTTACAGGAACGAATCTTACCTTTACCGGATCTGGATAACGTTCCTGATGGTTTGCTTTTTTTTAGTGACAATATGGAGTGAAATCCCCAGCACAGCTTATCTTTACTTAAAAATTCACATGCAAAATGCATATCGTTGCATTTTTAAGGTAATCTGCGAATACCTTAAGTAAACTCTATTATAGTATTATCCATTATAATATTATAGTATTGTCCTTATAGTATTATCCAAATTTTAAAATAATATTATTCAAATTAGCAAGCAAATGCAAAGACTAAATGGTTGCAACTGAAATTTTGATCGCAAAATTTATTGAATGTGAAAATTTGAAAAAACAACTATTGCTATGAATTATTTGAGGAAAGAAAAGTAATAAACAAAGTAAAGAATGCACTGTTAATTAATTAATCAATGTCTTATTAAAATTAATTCTGGTTAGCGTCTCAAACACATTATAAACAAATTTCCAAATATGTTTATAGAAATGGTCGTTAGAAATATTATGTTGTAATGAATACAAATCGTTAAGTAATTTTAAATAATCACGTGTGGACGTAACGCTTGCCATTTATATAGATAAACGTACGTAAGGTGACACTTTCCTTCACCGTACACTAGAACAGTAATAAACACTGCTACCTTAGAAGAAGAGAAATGAGAAATTCAGTTATTGGAATAAGATTGATTTGTTGCGGAAATAGATTTTTCGAAAACAAATGACCAAAATGGATTGATAAAAGCATAAAGAATGTACTTCTGACCTGACTTTTATTATTATTACCTCCCGCTTCTGATCTATTATTCTTTACTTCTACTTTCTCGTTTAATGCTTTGGCTATAGAAAGTTAAAATTAAGTAAATCAATACATATAGAAGATCTAGCAAATCTCGATCATCGAGGGACAATACTTATTTGTTTAGAAGAATTGGAGGAAATTGCAAAGAAAATGACTCAAAAGCTGTTGCAACTAGAAAGCGAGCATTATGATATTAATTATATCGTACGCCAGAAAGATTTTGAAATCAATGAATTAACTATTTCAGTTAACGATTTAAGAGGCAAATTGTGAGTTGTTAAGTTTTCTTTTATAAATGACTTTTTGATAAAAGCAAATTAAATTCGAACTTATTCATTATTATTTATTCGCATATACATTCATCGTTAAGATGCTTCTATTTTTACGTTTCACGAATAATTCATATTTGCAGCGTGAAACCAACTCTAAAAAAGGTATCCAAAACGGACAACAGGTTAGCATTACTGTTTTCCATGTTGTTTTATTATTCCAGCAAAGAATTTAACAAATTTAACATATTGTTCTCGAACCATTTAAATTTATATTGCGAAGATGGAGTAATGATTGCTGCTCCCTCAATTTGCTGATAAGCTGTTAACCTACTTCAAATTAATTTTTCAAGTAATTCATCGTCTTACAGTTAGTAAAAGGCCAACTTATTTAATTATTGAAAGGAAAGTTTTAGATTCAATAAGCTGAAGAAGAAAGATCGGAACTTTGTCGATTTTCGCACCAACTTGAAAAATGTAGAAAGCAATAAATTCACTCTGAAAGAGGTGGGTCATTTTCAAGTTTTGCACCTTATCAAAGTGAAAAAGTGTTCATATAAGTTCATGCTACAGACTATTTATTCATTTTCTAGTTTTATTTTATTGTCTCGAATCTAATAACTTTTTATTATTTTTTTTTTCTTTTGAAATAAGTTAGTGCGACATATTGTGTTGTGGATAGTAAAACAGAGTAACATTCATAAAGTCTTATTATTTAAAATGTTAAGAAAATTTTAGACATTCAAATCTTGAAATTGTTTTTTTGAAGGAACATAAGTTTTCTTCAACAAATTATTTTCTTTTAATTTAATTTTCCTTTTTTTTTTTTTTTTTTTTGTTTTTTAAATAAACCCGCTCTTAATAATCTTGCAAGATACTGCATATTTTATCATTGTTGATGAAAATATCGGGAAAAAACTTAGCAGTTTGTATCTGAAGAAAAGAATGTGAAAAAAAAATGTGAAAGTTTAATAAACTTCAAACATGTAGCTGATAGCAAATAATGATAGAAATGGCTGATAAAATGTACTTTAAATTTGATCTAATCAGATTTTCTTTCTTAGATAATGAATGCGTGCAACCTGTTTGTTATCTCTTCGCGCACAAAAATATCTTTAAAAACGGACAGATATTTTTGAATGCAAAATTAACTTCAATTTTTTTTTTTTTGGAACAGAGAACAATCATCAAACCTTTTCATGCACATCTGTATCGTTATTACCGATCATCATTGATTCCATTGGAACCATTTAGGATGATGATGGATGTCGAAATTGCGCAAAATACGAAATAAAGATATTCTCGAGATATCTTTGCTTCCTATTTCATCTAAAAAAAGAAAGATAACAAGTAGATAATAACTGAATAAAAGCGCTGTTTGCTTTTTGGAATAGTGAAGTTAAATTATTCTGCCCATGGTATATCTCAATAAAATCGTCAGTTTTATAGGAGAAGAAAGAATCCATCGTTGGTTGGAAGAAGTGAAAATACATCCGTATCATTATGCCACCTATTATCAATTGCTTCATGTAATAGCTTAATACGACAAAATATTCAAATAATTTTTTGTTATCTGGGATATTCAGAAAATAAGGTTTTTACAAACCAGAGCTTAAATATTCAAATAAAATTTTTAGAATAACAAATTTTTATATGCATATTTAAAGAAATCCTGTAACTTAAGAACACGTCTGAAACTGTCTAAAATGGTAGTGAAGAAGCTTTTAGTCTGCTATTAACTTAGTATCATTAGGTTTTAGGAAGAAATGATTTTTTATTGGAATAACAAACGAAAAGTTCTCTTGCTGTTGGGAATATTATCTATTCCTTAGAGATATAAAGATTATTGGTGAGGAAGAGAAATTCCGGAATCAGTAAACCTAGACAAACGGTATCCTGCAGAATTATAGCTGTTTTCATCATCACCTTTGAATTATGTTATTACGAGTATATTGATGTACAAGGGATGCGGATTTGAATTAATTCCGTTGACCTGAACAGGTATGTCCAGTATTACTTTTTATGGTTCAGATACTGTGTTATCAAAAATTATCTCAAACACAATTCTTTTGATATAAAAAGCAATTAAAGCTGAGAAAAAGGAAAGCGTGTACTTAGCTCGACAAACAATGTTAGCAATGAATAATTGTTTCTTCCAACTTTAGGATAGCTCAGTTTAGACTCTCTATAGTACCTCCCATGAAAGCTTCGAAATTAGGTATACAGACAATATAAACTGAATGTAAGTTATTTTATCCTAGACGGAACAAAATAAATTATTTAGACCAGCGAGAGGTTACAGAGCATAAATTTTTTCCATTACTGACCGAAATTTAGTACTTCCTCTTCACTTTCACTTACTTCACTGCAATCTTTTTTAGTAAAGAAACTGCGGGAAATCAACTGCTTTCTGGCATCAAGAAATTTTATGGGGAAAATAGCTGACATAGTGCAGTTTTGCTGCTGCTTTAGGCTCTTCGTAAAATCGACTCTTAAAACTGTCTTCTTATTTTTTCTGCAGTTTTGTCGAATACACTTTCAGCAGTGACTTAAATTTCTAAAATTGTGCTAAAAAGTTAATTGAAATAGTTTAAGAGAAAATCAGAAAAATTAGTTTCATGTGGAATTTGCATAAATGATAAGTGTTGTTGGACAGTCTGCAATGGACATAGAGATCACATCTTACGCTACTTTACACTTAAATCATAATTGCAATTCTTGAATCGTAAATCATTCGATACGATTATATTTCCTTCTGCCCATTTAAAACCTTCAGCAATTCATGTGTGGGTAGTAATAATCTTCTTACGAAGTATCAGTAATTTCTGATGGCGGAAAAGATTGAGAGGGTTGGTTCTGCCTCTTTGGCTTTTTTCTCGGTATTCCAAACTTTGAGTAATTAAATCTTTATTCTGATAAAATGGTTAATGTAACAACGATCAGCAATTAGAACTTTTCCGCTACTTCTATTTATTATCAAGTGCTGATTTTAACTTGCCTATATTATTCTCTTCTAATAGTGACTTTATTTGTTTTTGTTATTTCTAGTTTTTTAAGTAAAACTTCTATCATTTCCTTTTTTTATCACCTTGATACTTACAGCTAAGGTGTTTATATGCGAGGCAGCATTTCTCTTCTATTGATTTTTTTGCAAGATTTTGCAGTGCAGTATCTACTTGAACTTCAATAGAGTTAACTTTATTGGTTTTTTCAGCCTTCAGTTTAAATGCCTTAACCTCTTTCTCTGTTACTGTATCAGCTACTTTCTTAGTTTTATTCAAAGATGAAGAACAATTTTAATGACAATATCAGTAACACAAAGCAGGTACAAACCTAACAAGTGGGAGGGTAAAGTTCCGATATGGCAGAAATAGCATCTTCAGGAAGCGCACATTGGCAGAACAGTTTCCGCCAATGCAGTGTAAACGAGGCATTATGTGTGCTATTTGACGCAATTAAGCGTGCCTGCTTTAAATAGAGGGGATCGCACAGATATGAGTAGGTCGAATATACCACTGTCTAAACTGCTGGGGTACCACAAATGTACCACTGAATCCCTTCCACTAAACTGATAGAGTAACTCTACCAAAACAAATACTAATTGTAATGGAAAATTATGAAATGTTTCAAAAAAGATTTTGTCTACCACAGATCGAATAAGCTCTACCCACTTCATAAAAAGCCGAACCTCTGGCACCCCAGCAGTAACGATGCTATGCTAACATATACAATGAGTAGTAGTTGGTTCTGTAAATCTATTCAACTTCAAATACCGCTATAAATTGCGCAGTGTTGTCAGTTTAATATAGCTATTTCTATTTCATCATACTACAACACTCTCCATTATAATGACAAGTATTAACTACTTCTATCTAACAAAATTCAATACCTGCAATAAATGCCTCTAGTTTGATTTATTTATTTTTTTTTACTGAATTGAGAACAAAAAACTATTTATTTATTATTCAGAGAATCTACCACTTATATAAATGAATACACAAATGATTTATAAAAGCAATAATTCGATGAGTAAATGGTGTGAGAATATGTAGAAAGCATGCAAAACTCAATAAATACGATGCCAAGAATTGATAAATAAAAATAAAAAAATAAATAAAAATAAGGAACCAAAAAGGAAACGAAGTACTACATGTAACATAGGAATTTAAGTTGTTAAGAGTTAATAAGAGGCAACATAATCATTCAACAGCAAAATCAAAGAAAAATCCAATACAAGGATATACAATGATATCTTGGAATGGAGCTTGAGACAACTTTAAAAATTTATTCGAAATTTACCAAAAATAAGCGCAGTATGCAATCGTAATACAGCCTAATTTTTGAAAAGGAGAAAAAGAAGAAAAAAGTAGGGGGTTTTCCTTTTCAATAAAAATAGGTAGGAAAGTTGAAATCAATTTTTAAAATTTTCGCCTCGAAAATTTTCTTGTTTCTAATAGATTTGTGTTAAAAAAATATTGGAACACCCCAAATTGAAAAAAAAAAAAAGAAAAAAAAGATTTATTTTGTACGGTATGTATATCTTTTCTATAAAATTAATAGTATGTCTCACGCTCAACCCATCCGCCAGGGTATCGTCGAATGTAATAACGTCGAGCCTCGTCGTACACAAAGATCAGAATGGAAAATGGAAGTGCTGGAAACCACCACGAAAACCTAAAACATAGTGGGGTACTACAAAATGGAAATCAATAACATTGCTAAATTTTATTTAAACAAAAATTATTCGAACATTTTACTAACTGGAAAGACGACCTACCGAAGACCATACATACGAAGGCCTTTATCCAATCCTGGACAATAACACATAAATGCAGCAAGAGCAGTTTCAAAGACAAGACCGAAGTTCAACGTCCAATTGCTCATCCCTTGCTGTACCAAAGAATTCCGTCTTGTTTTCGAAATAATGAGATCAGCCCACTGAACCACCACAATGGACACAAAATATGCTGTCTGACATGTGTATTCCAAAATCTTACGATTTGCATACGTCTGAAAATATAAAAAAAAATATTACATGTTTCTGTAGAAAAATGATGGTACTTCAGATTACTTCTTATTGATTCCTATAAAGCGCTTCAGTTGATAAATGGTGGTGAAAACTCAAAAAGATATACTTATTTCTCATGAACCTACATGGAGAGACAAATTATAAAAATCTTACCCATTCCTGCCCATATGAATCTTCTAAAGAATTAAATGCACGCGAGTCCCACTGAGCACGCAACTGGTACAAACGACTTGGCCAGAATCCGTTGTCAGCCATAATCCAAAAATATGTGAAGAAACCAGCCGATGCCTGAATCATTCCAATTTGTCCGTATGCCAACGAAATCAACCTATAACAATTAAGTTATATTCGACATATCATATGAGTTGTTTTATGATGCACGGAGTTCACTGAGGTAGATGATTTCCTTCAAAACTCAGTTTAAGAATCTAGTAATTTTAGTTTTAAAAAATACTTTCATACCGTTCATTGACAAGTTTATCATGCACTGGATCACGTGGTTGGCGCTTCATGATATCCGATTCAGCTTCTTCATAAGCAAGCGATATAGCAGGTACCATATCGGTCCCAAGATCAATGCACAAGATTGTTACTGTTCCCAAAGGCAAAGGAATACCAAATAAGATGTAAGTAAGGAAAGGTGATATTTCCGGAATATTGGATGTTAATGTATAGGCAATTGACTTCTTCAGGTTATCGAAAATCAGTCGACCTTCCTCGACCCCAACCACAATCGATGCAAAGTTATCATCCAAGAGAATCATATCAGCTGCCTTTAATCAGAAAAAATTCTCATAATTTATATGAATGTATAATTTGGAAATCAAAAATTCTTAAATTTTGTTCACTCATTTTAATTTCACCTGTTTGGAGACATCAGAACCAGCTATTCCCATAGCTACACCAATGTCTGCACGCTTTAGTGCAGGAGAATCGTTAACACCATCACCCGTAACAGCGACAATTTGTCCTTGTCGTTGAAACCCTTCTACAATCATCAGCTTTTGTTGCGGCGATGTACGTGCAAAGACAATTTCACGATGATGAACGATAATATCAGCTAGCTGTTCTTCGGTCATTTCACGCAAATCTGACCCATGAATTACTGCCGCATCCGCTTCATTCGGATTCACTTCTTCCACTGCACAGTTACGTTCGATCGCTATATCCTCAACAGTTTTTGATCCATCCGAAATGATTCCAACACTTTTGGCGATGGCTTTAGCTGTGATTGGATGGTCTCCAGTAACCTGAAACCTTTGAACTTCAAATGTGTTAAGGGGAACATAACACTTCTACTACTATTTCCAAAAGTTATCATTGCGTTGACAACAATAAAACTTAAGGAATTTGAGATTTTAAGGACTGACTTCCCCAAATTTTAAAAGCTAACCATAACAACTTTGATACCAGCAGATCGACATTTGGCAACAGCATCTGGCACAGCAGCTCGCGG